TCTCTTTCTGTACTTCTTATCTAAGTTTCTAGTCCTTGTCGATTTAACTTAGCAGGTCTTTGTTCCAACTTCCCCTAAGATAGTTTTTGAACTTGGTACTCAGGAAAGGCTTGCTTACTTGCAACATCATTTCGGTTTAATATGCATTTGAAATGCCTCTCTGAGTATAGGGTAGCAGTCACCTATGAAGCATGTTGAACTTAATTTCTTCCTGTCAACAGCGCAAACAATAATTGTTTCATTCAAGAAAGTGGTGGACACATAGGTAGGGACTGGAGAAAGCATCTGTTTTATAGAATTATTTTTTGTGTACATGATTTTGGAACCATATCAGCACAACAGCATTTATGGGACATTGGGAAGATGGGAAAGTCCTGTTATACTGTACCTATATCTATTAATTTTAATAAGACACTTAACAACTAGAATTGATCAGGAATATAATACACATTTAATGATTACTTACTGAACGAAAACTGTATTATTATTAAACATACTAATGGAGGGAAAATAATAAGCAGTTGAGTCTCATAGGAATGGTTTTTTTGTGTTATTAATAAGAAGGGCTTATGTTACAGAAAGAATCCTTTCAATAACAAACCATATGTTCTTTGTAAGGAAGGTGTTTCTTTAACCTTCCATAGAAGAGATTTAGCAGATTTTGTCCCTCTCTATTTAGAAGTCATTTTCTGAAATAAGGGTAATTTCAATAAATAGATGAGGTAGGTAAAGAACAAAATATAGTAACTAGATGTATTTGTAAAGACAGGTGGGGCATCATGAAAAAAGAATCTGTTACTAATTGAATACCTTTTCAGGCACAGTTAGTATTAGAGGAGGAGTAGAAGTGATATGCACAGAAAGGGTTGGAGATATGTCAGATCCTTGCCTCTTGCTTCAGTCCTTAAATAGCATTTGTGGATATAGATACATGGACAAAGGAATTGGCAGGGGAGATAGCTTATTGATGTGAAGGTCTAGAGCCCTTGTGGATACAAAGTGTTTGGGTCCTTGAAAAAGTCCATAGGCTAACCACGGGGGGCAAAGAGAAAAGGAGGTACAATGTTTTTTTAGGCATAAGGCTACTACAGTTGTTAAAGTAGTCTCACATTGGGGCAATTCCAGATTGTAAGAGCATCTTGTAGGAGAATTCAATCAAAGGGTCAGGGTTTATTCTTTGGGCCTCTCTTGTTAATTTTTTGGCTTCATGTCAGATTTATGTTATAATCAATGTATGTCTTCTCTAGGCATATCTAAAGAGTGGTTTCTGATCTCTGCAAATTCCCATGAGATATGAGGTTGACTCAGCCATCTAAGCTTTGGGCCTCTATTTTTTTAGTATATAAAATGACAATTTTGGTTTAATCAGTGAGGGTCATTTCAGCTTTTTAAAAAATGAAATTATTTGTTTTTCTGTGCTATGTTAGAAAAGCTTTTTAAAAAAACAAAAGGAGAAAGTAGTGAGGTCTCACTATTTCCCAGACTGAACTCCAACTGCTGGGCTCAAGTGATCCTCCCACTTCAGCCTTCTGCGTAGCTGGGAATACAGGTGTACGCCCAACTAGAAAATGCTTTAAGTAGAGAAAGCTTTAGAGACTGTTGCACACATGAGTGTGTTTACCATTAAACAACTCAGGATAAAAGAAAATGAATATCAGTATCTCTTAGCCAGCCAGCTTACTAACTATAGGTTACTCTCAAGTACTGAAGTACATTTGAGGTGGTCACATATGGTCTGGTCTAGCGTAGTGTAATGCTTGGTAGAGCGATTAGTCACTGTGTGCCTCTAGATCTAAAAGTGGTTTCTAAAAAGTAAGCTATCAATGATGTGAGATCAGCTTATTTGTTTCGCTTGTTTAGGATCTATAAATATCGGTGAGTTAAAACACAGGAATTTCATATTCAAAGTTTATCCAATCAAGAAGAACATAGTTATCAAGTGTTAATAAAATTTTCTTTGAGTAAATTATTTTAGCTTATGGATAATTTTAATTTTCTTATTTGCCCATGTTTTCTCCTTTTTTTTCCCCTGCAAAGAACATAAATTACCATTGTAATAAAAATCTAAAAGCTCTATATTAAATATATTGTCTAGTTTCCTGAAACTTTATAAAAGGAATTACAGTTAATTTCCAAAATTGCATTACAGAGACTAGAGGCAAACGAGATAGAGAAAAGGATACAAGAGAAGAACGAGAATATGAACAGGATCAGAGCTCTTCTAGAGACCACAGAGATGACAGAGAACCTCGAGATGGTCGAGATCGGAGAGACACCAGAGATACTAGAGACCGAAGGGAGTTAAGAGACTCCAGAGACATTCGGGACTCCAGGGAGATGAGGGATTATAGCAGAGATACCAAAGAGAGCCGTGATCCCAGAGATTCTCGGTCCACTCGTGATGTCCACGACTACAGGGATCGTGACAGTCGAGATACTCATCGAAAGGAGGATATGTATCTGGAAGAATCCCGTAG